GTGGCATTAACTTTGTTGTACCACAAGAAGGGTCTACCTATCCAAATGAGGTAACTGTAACTGAATTGATCAAGGTACCAGATTATAAGTGGGCTAACATTCGCTTCACTAAATTTGACCTAGAACTTTCTGAAGGATGCGACAAAGATTACGTGGTAATTATTTCTCGTCAAGGTTTCAGATTTTACGAAGATAGAGATATGCATACGTTATGGGGAGCAGTGTGTGGCTCATATACATTTTCCGAACCCAGTATCCTAAATGTTCAACTGTGCTTTAACTCTTCAGTTGAGGTTATATTTAGTAGCGATCTAGATGTCCGTGCCACAGGATTGAAGGCTGATATAGATGTGGTGGAAGATTGTGAAGATCGCAAATTGCCGTGCACACATGTTGAATATTCACGTTCAGGTTGGATCAGAATCAACCGCGGTAATTTGACGGCAGGCTGTAAGTTTTATTTGACCGCTCCTGCTGATCACATCTTGCAAATAACACTTGATAACAATCGTTATATTTCTTGTGGGACGTTTACTTTTTATGACGTGACAGAATACAATGAGGTAAAATTCCATACCCATTTCATGAATAGCTCTGAACAATTTTCACCGCTTCGTGGGAATTATGACCAAATGAGCATCGAATGGTCACCGTGTGACGGTCCACTGCAATTCGACGTGCGTGCTGAGTACAAAGCCATTCCCCGTCAAATGGTGGAACCGTTTTCATGCCACCCAGGATATAGCCTTTTTGAGGGGAACTGTTATCGGTTTAAGCAATATTACATGAAAACGTGGTCCGAAGCTGAGACCGAGTGTGAGAGAGATTCAGGACATCTAGTTAGCATACAAACTCGGCGTGAAGCTCGCTTTGTGGGTAGAAGTCTGCATAGCGTAGAGAGTATGCACCTAAATGCTAATTGTTATTGGCTCCAGCGAAAGACCGCAATCTACATAGGACTTAAATCTACAGACCAGGCAAGTTTTTTTAGAATTTTAATTTTTGAACACCAGTGACTTCACTGCAAATCTGCTAGTAGTTTGTTTAATTGAAATAGGTCACCGGCCCATAGCAAATACTTCTCATCTTCAATTGTATGCATATTTTCCTCTAAGCAATATTTACACAACCTACCTAATTTTTGTTAATTTTCATGTCTACAAGTTTCTATTGCAAGTTTATGATCTGAAGCTCTGAATCGTGAAAGTGCTACTCTGTATTTCCTAATATTTACATCAAATAAGGTTCTAAAAAACTTTTAGACAATGCTATAGTTTTCACAAAGCTTTGGACTTGGAATTTTTAACAGACTTTATATTGGACTATTTCAATTTGTTCACATTTTACATAGCCCCAAATTTCAGCTCCATAGCACAAGGTTGGTACAACATCATGACCAAACAAATATAGCGACTGAGTTATAGGCAAGTCAAAATTTCTGATATACTTTATCAGAATATTCTAAAATATGCTAGGCTAGGGTACTCTTAGCTTTGCTCCAGAACAAAAAAGTTGAAAACATCAGCCCCAGGTACACAATTACTACCTCCATATTATTAAGGAACAATTTTCATGTTTATTTAAATATCCATTTCGTCTGAAAACTAAGATTTTTGTTATATCTATGTTGATCATCATGCCTTATTTTTGCAGTTTTCTGGTTTTGTTTTAAGCTTTTGCAGGTTACCGACCTTGTCACTTATCTCTACTGCATCGTCTGCAAAGAGCAAATGCGAGATGTTAGGTGCATCTTCATTTACGAAAATGCCCTTACAGTTTTTATCATTTCTTTTAAGAATATGTATATGTTAAAACATATATACATATTCATTTAGAAATAGAGTAAACATAAATGGAATTAACATGCAACCTTGTTTGGTGCCTGTGGTATCAAAGTAATCAGTGTACCATCGTTCATCTGTATACTTGACTTCAGTTGTTTATACATAGATTGTATGGTTTTGACTATCTTAGTATTAACCTTGTTTTTAAGGAATGTATTAATAGTGTATGGTCAACGCAATCAAAGGCTTTAGAGAAGTCGATGAAAAATACAATAACATCCTCCCCTCTGTTAAGTGATATATTTCTGTATTAGGGATTCAATGTGAAGCAGTTATGTATTGTACTATAGCCTTACATAAACCCACTCTTTTTACAAAACTTACTTGTATACTAGTACTTGTATCTTCTATCCGTTTTACTAACCTTTCGTTTAGGATTTTTGTAAATATTTTGCCAGTGATGTTAAATACCTCTGCAATTATTTGGATCATTTTGTCACCTTTTTTATAGATTGGGCATATAATAGCCTCTCCCCATTATGCCAGGAAGACCCCAGTTTGCATAATTTGGTTTTATAATGAACATAAGCAAGGGACTAGGGTGGCACTATTTTTAAAAATCTCGACCAATAAGCCATCAGGACCTCCTGATATTATATTTTTCATTTTCCTCATTGCAGCAATTATTTCTCCATTCTTTTTTTTCATCTTCTTAATTGCCAATTTCTTCATTTTCAGATATTTCCAAAATATCAATGAGCTGTTAGCTTCATTTTTGCACACAGGATCAATTAGGGTGTTTAGCTATTTATAATAAAGTCCGAAAATATTGAAGCCAAGTGTTTGCTCATATGCTGTTTGCTATGTGTGAAAGAAATAGTGGACAGAGTGGACGTTGTTGATTGTATGGATCCTCGTGAAGCTTTTTACTTGGGTAGGACGAATGCAGTCAGGCTTTTTTGTCGAGCAGAGCAGAGACAAAAACACGTCTTATTGATGTGTGTAGTATCTACCCCTACGTAAATAAGTACAAACCGTATCCACTCCGTCATCCCACCAAACCTTTGGTGCATGGAGTGAATACGATGGTTTGGTAAAATGTACCGTTCTTCCTCCCCGGCGTATTTATCATCTTTATCATCCTACAGATCACAAGGGAAACTAACGTACCCTCTTTGTCGCACATGCGCTGATACACTGCAGCAAACACATTGTCAGCATATAGTGACAATGAACGTTGTTTGACAGGCACGTGAGTAAATGTTAAAATAAAGAAGGCCGTTCCGAAAGGTTGTGTGATTAAAAATTTCCAATACATTCGGCACAATGATTGTGTGAGTGAGTACCGACCGATTACAAATACGGGGGTCTATTCTCTGGCTATAGCAATACCTTACTCAAGCTCAAACGAGAGGCCAGCGTCTATCCCCCAGATTGCACGACACCACAGCTGAGAAGGCACTACATTGGTTCCTACTTTACCAAAGAGGTTATCCGACTAGACCAATACCAAATTAAGAAGAACCCAGGTCTTAGAGCTATATCCAAACTGATGCTAAACAGTTTTTGGGATACGTATAAACAGGTAGCATTATTTTACTATATGTACTTATTCTGCGCTTCACGCAAATATATTAACATTTGTATTTACCATTCAACGAAAATGAGAGTCATAATATCGTGCTTATAACGTAGGAATTCGGTGTGTTACCGTGTTTTTCTCAGTGTATAATTCGCACCAGCAAATTAAAACATCTGTAATTCGTGCATTTTCACTGTTTTAACTAATATGGTAATGTTATTTCGTTGACTATTTTAGGCAGATTCGGCCAAAGAACAAACATGACACGGTCCGAATACGTCACCGAGGTGGACCAGTACTTTGCGCTCCTGCTGAACAAATCCCTGGATGTCACCAACGTAATGTTCTTGAACGACGACAAGGTAGAAATGCACTACAAAAAACAGTCAGAGTTAGTAGAGTTCGCTGAGAAAACCAATTTTGTCATCGCCACATACACCACGCCCGCATGGTTCTCTACGACCATTGAGGTACTGGATCGGAAAGTCCTCCTGCGCCACCGATTCCATCATATTCCTCGATGATGGCAGTGCACAAACTAGTGCGTGCCTGGACAGCATCATGGGCAGCTACCTCGGCGACTTCACCGATGAACTAGATGAGGGGGAACTAGATGAGGGGGACCACACCACCACACTTGTTTCGGGCGGCTCAAAGAACTATACGCATATACGTTACGGCAAAGAGAAAGACAATACGTAAAGTGACAGGTTTATCATTGAATTATGAAACCTCTCAGATGGTTATTTATGACACTTTGTATAACATGATGCGAAAGAGGTGTCAGTTACACACAACAAAATTGCCAGAATCACTTTAGCTAAAGACATCATCTCTAGAAGAGAAGATACAGTTTATCGTGTTGTGTCATTCAGAAAGACTCATTTGATGCGTTACCATACTGTTATTAGTTAGGTGTGATGGCCTAGTGGCTAGCACGCTTGATTCGGGTGTGAGGGGTCCCGGGTTCAAATCCTTTAGCCGCGACTTATCATTCTGGTAAACATGTAAAACCAGTACTACCTGTACCATGCGGGGGTCAGGACCCGTAAGCTTTGAACAGCAACCTGACTAGGAGTTACGATAACTCTACACAAAAAAACCTACTGCCATAGTAGCAAAAATCCAGCCGGATCATAAGGCTAGCGGAGGAAAAACCGTATACAAACATAGGGCAGGCAAAGCTCTTTAGTGTGTTCACACAAGTTTGCCTAGGAATGGTGTTGCCAACTTCAACACCCTCTCCCAACCCGCAATGGCCAGCGTGGGATGAGTAGGCCTAAAATCCAGCATGAAACACCCAACAAACACACGGCCTCCAGTACCCAGCCGCACAAACGCCTTGAACATAGGAGGTGATCCTGATTCAGACCAGCAGAGTGCAGGAGGTGCTAAGAATCTCTGGGGCAGCAAGGATCACCGAACATCAAGACCAGTGAAAAATTTCAACATCATTACTTACTACATTAGAACTCTGAAGAACAATGAAAGACTTGCAGAATTGGAAACTGAACTCCAGGACACCGGAGTTAAATGGCATGTGATAGGCTTGTCAGAAATTAGGTGAGCGGAAGAACGCTTAATTACCTTGAATAGTTGAACAGTTGACAACAGACTGCCACTACCACATAGTCATGGGTGATTTCAACGCCAAGATCGGGATAAAGTCAGACGAACAAGAGCGTGCCACAGGGAAATTTGGCAGCGGAGAGAGGAATGAAAGAGGAGACTTACTGATTGAATGGGCGACAGAAAATAACTTGAAGATCATGAATACCGTCTACAAGAAGAAGATATCAAGAAGATGGACATGGCAAAGCCCAGATGGATGTACAAGAAACGAAATTGATTACACCATGACAAACAGACCGAACATCTTCACGGATGTGAAAGTGCTAAACAGACTGGATGCGGGCAGTGACCACAGAGCAGTTATGGGAGTGATTAGGATCAATGTCAGGAAGGACAGACAGAAATGCCTGTCAAATCCATCAAAGTATCGAGTAACTGGTCATAAAGAAAGACGAGTTCCAAATCCTCCTAACGAACAGATTCAGTGCACTAGAGCTAGAAGGTGAAGATGGAGTAGATGAAATGAACGATAGAATAACGACTACCATCCTAGAATGTGCTTCAGAAGTCGCACCGGCCAGTAAAATGAAGGACTCAAAGCTCTCAACAGAAACGAGGATTCTCATGAAGAAAAGACGGATGATGAAGAAAACGGAGGTAAACAACAACAGGGACATCAGAAACAACATCGAATATGCAGAACTGGATAAGACCATCAAGAAGAAGGCAAGGGAAGACATCAGGAAGCAGAACATGAAGAAGATAGCAGAGACCATCGAAAATGGAAAGAGCATGAAAAGAGCAAAGAGATCCTTTCAACTAGGGCAGGATAGAATGCTGACTCTTCTAGACAAAGATGAAAATGAGCTCACCACACAAAACCAAATATTAGAACGAGTAGAAGAATTCTATTGAGAGTTGTATGACAGCAACAAGGGAATAGAAATCTCAACAAGGCATGCGATCTACCAGACATAACAGCTTGGGAAGTAAAGTCAGCAGTCCAGAAAATGAAGAACGGAAAGGCAGCAGGAAATGACAACATCATAGCAGAAATGGTAAAAGCAGGAGGAGATATCCTATCTCAGGAATTAGCCAGGCTCTTCACAAAGTGCTTACATCTGAAGGAAATTCCTGTAGCATGGAAGAACGCCAACATGGTCATAATGTTCAAAAAGGGCAATAGGAAAGACATCAAGAATTACAGACCCATCTGCCTACTTTCTAATTTGTACAAGATTTACATCAAAATATTGACCGAAAGGCTAACAAGACAACTAGATGAAGCGCAGCCAAAGGAACAAGCAGGTTTCAGAGGCCAGTACACCACTACTGATCATATGCACACTGTCAACCAGCTCAAAGAGAAATGTCTCAAGTATAACATTCCACTATGTGTAGCATTCGTTGATTATGAAAAAGCCTTCGACTCAGTAGAAACCCAGTATATACTTGCATCCCTGCAAGATCTAGGGATCGAAGATGGATACGTAGATGTCCTCAGAGACATATACACCGATAGCTCTGTAACAGTCAAACTACACAAGACCACCAATAAGATCAGGATCAAGAAAGGTGTACGCCAAGGAGATACAATCTCTCCTAAACTGTTCACAGCAGCATTGGAACGTATATTCAGGGATCTAGACTGGCAAGACAAGGGCATAAACATAGACAGTACCAGGCTCAATCACCTTAGGTTTGCAGACGACATCATAATAGTAGCAGATGATGCAAAAGACCTCGAAGAAATGCTACAGGCGTTAGCAGATGAAAGCGCAAAAAGTGGGCTAAAGATGAACACCAGCAAGACAAAGGTGATGTTTGGACCACTAACCACCCCTTGCACAGTGAAGGTCAACACCAAAGAGATAGAAGCAGTAGAAGAGTATATATACCTTGGGCAACGGTTCAGCCTTAGTGATCGAACACTGGAGAAAGAAATCCAACGAAGGATAAAAGCAGGATGGGCAGCATATGGGAAGCACAATGACATCTTCAAGAGCAACCTTCCTACCTGCCTGAAAAAGAAAGTGTTCAATGCTTGTGTGCTGCCGGCAATCACCTATGGTTCAGAGACCTGGGCACTGAATGCCTCCATGGAACACAAGCTACAAGTAGCTCAGAGAAAGATGGAAAGAATTATGTTGAACATCAATCCAAGAGAGCGGAAAACGAATGTATGGTTACGTGAACAGAACAAAGTCAAAGACGTACTATTCACAGTTAAAGAAATGAAATGGAGGTGGGCAGGACATGTCAAAAGAATGAAGGACAATAGGTGGACAATCAGGCTTACAGAATGGACCCCAAGGTATGGACAAAGAAAAAGAGGAAGGCCGGTCAAACGATGGAGGGATGGATTAGATGACTATTGGAAGTCTTGGAAGAAGAAACCTTGGCCAAACTGGAAATCTGAGGCTTAGGATAGGAAACAATGGAAAAAAGCATGCTGAGGCCTTTGTCCAACAGTGGAACAATATAGGCTCTAAATGATGATGATGATAATACTGTTATTGACTTTTTGAATAATGATCATCATTATTATCTAACAGTTAAATTTGCGTTTAATAGATGCATACTTTTTTTATATAAATTGTCTTGTAATTTTCAACGTATATATAATGCCTACTGTATCACTATTATCATTTTGGGCTGCCACGTTGTACTTTTGTGTATAATAAAAACATGTTTTGTTTACAATACATTTGTCTTTGCCACTTTTTCAGTGACGTCATACCGTTGTCTTGACTCCTTCTTGACATCTTTTTTATTCAAACTTTATAGCATAAAAGTTTGAATTTTACTTGTTTGGGCATGCTTTTCCACTACGTCATATCGTTGTCATGGTAAAACGTAAACAAAAATATAGAGTCTTCTTTGTTTATCCATTTTTTCACTCAACAAAAGACTTGTTTTTTGTAAACATCCTCCATTGAGTTTTTCTTTGTCAAAATGATGTAATATAACAAAAGAAAAAAAAAAACCTACATATACTCTCAACTGTATCCCCAATGTTACTTCTGGAGATTGATGCTTTCTTCCACATTGAACAGATTTAATCATTAACGTACATATATAATGTGTGTTTGTGTGAGTGCGGTCCCTCCATGTGATGGTTGCATGACATCGCTCCTCTTTACACTTCCCAATAAATCATATCCAATTCATCTTACAGTACTTCAACTGGACAGATGGGGGAGCTTTTGTATACAATGAATGGTACGGCCCAAAAATTTATGGATTCAATTCATATAAGATTCCTTTCACACTGACAACAATTGTCATGGAAGATGTTCTACAGCCGGTCCGAGGCGACGAGCGCGACTGTGTCATTATGATGACATTTCTACAATTTCCCACTCAAGGGAAAACACGCTGGGGGAACTGGGCCAAAGTCCCGTGTCATCAACCAATCTGCTGTATGGCTGCAATCTGTAAAAAACCTGCAGTTCCGGCATCAAAAAAGAAGTCAACTACAGCCGCTTCCAAATCATTGCTGTTAAATTCCACAGCATCCCAGTGGTATACGCACCATGAAACCTACTGTCCAGAGGGTTGGGTGTATATAGCAGGACGTTGTGTGCTTCTACACACCCTTGCCAAGATTGTAGCCGAACTAAAAGTTGGACACGAAACTACGTATGTGTCCCATTACTCCCCACTATATTGGTCCTTACCGCCAGGCACCAACCTCACCAATAGCGCAGCTGTGGAGGCATGTAGGTCCCTGGGTGGAGATTTAGCCCCCTTTAACAGCACTTTACACAAGGACCGAGATATTCTTCAATACATCAGTATTTGGGGCAAAGAACTCACTTGGATATCTCCAACAAGTTTGGAAATACATACATCACGACCACTCTCAAATATCTTAGCTGTGTGGGTGAAGTCCCCAGAGAACATATGCAGAAGACTTAAGTATACTAACCATCTGTTCATAGATGACATGGAAGGACTATGCCAAGACGTTGACCGCCGTGAGTCGCTCTTGGCTCTTTGTGAGATTGCTTCGAAAAGCAACATTTTAAACTGTTCACAGCACCAATTTAGATGTCAAGATGGCAGTTGTATATCTACTGTTAATGTGTGTGATGGGACCTGGGAGTGCGCTGAAGGAGAAGATGAGAAGAATTGTACATGTGGACAACACACTTTCATTTGTTCCGATGGCTCATGTATCCCAATTAGTAAAGTATGTAATCATATCAACGACTGTCCAAATGGAACTGATGACGAGAATTTTTGTGTCTATCCGCCGTGTAAAGCAGGGCAGTACAGATGCCAGAATGGGGAATGTATCGACGAGAAAGACAAGTGCAACTTCTTTAAAGACTGTTCAGATGGATCTGACGAAATTCCCCAAATTTTGTGCCCATGTAAGAAGTGTTACTCTGGCAGATGCGTAGCTCCTCAAAACATGGACGATCGCCATCCGGATTGCTTTGGGGTGACACAAGAGGATGAGTCACTTTCAATGATTCCAGTAATTAAGGGCAGGTCCTTAAATTGCCAATATGGTACCTGGTCACAATATTTCTCTCTGCCTTATTGTTCGAACACTAATGAAATGAGATGCGCACCCGAACATGTCCGGTGTATTGATCGACAACTGGCATGCGTTCACGACAAAATCAAGCACGAACGATTTCAAACATGCAGTGGATTTGAACATTTAGAAAACTGCGCCAGCTTTCAGTGTCCACACATGTACAAGTGTCCTGGCTCGTATTGTGTCCCACTTCGACAGGTGTGTGACGGGGAGAAAGACTGTCCACGAGGAGAGGACGAAGCTGGTTGTGCTAATTACACATGTCCCAGTGGTTTCAGGTGTAAAGGAGAACAACAGTGTCTGCACCAGAGCGAGGTATGCAACGGTGTGGTCAACTGCAAATTTTCTGATGACGACGAAAGGTTCTGTGACATAAAGACATGCCCCATGAACTGTGTCTGTAGTGGGTATTATGTAGACTGCATGGGAGGAAATGCATCCAAGGTACCGAATATATCACCATTCACCAGAGTCCTTGCTTTTGGGGACAACAAACTTCATTTAACAAACGAAACGTTTGCAAGGTATCAATTCCTTGTGAAACTGAATGTCAGCTCAAACGAAATCAGAACTATTCCTATTATGACATTCATCCATTTAAATAACCTGTTAGAGTTGGACCTACGGGGTAACAAATTGCCCTCTTTGCAAGCAAATTCCTTCAATGGTTTGTTTAATTTGAAAACCTTGTTGCTAAGTGGAAACCCATTAACTAAAATTTCCCCAGGCACATTTGATGGTGTTTCAAACCTAAGTGCTTTAGACCTTAGTATGCTTCATATCAAGACCATTCATGCACATACATTTAAAGGCTTAGACTCGTTAAAAAATCTGAATATAAGTTTCAACAAAATGTCCACGATAAAGGATGGTGCTTTTCATGGTTTGTCCAAATTTGATACGGTTGACATGTCTGAGAATGAGGGAATCTTTGTCGAAACTGAAGTTTTCGTAAATTTTTCAGCTAAAACATTAATAACAGACAGGTTTGGAATCTGTTGTCTCGCTGTAGGGAAAGTAAACGAATGTTTACCTAAACCTGACGAATTTTCCTCATGCTCTGATCTGCTGTACGATAAGTTCTTACAAGTTTCTGTCTGGATTATGGGAATTCTTAGTTTGGTTGGGAACCTTTTTGTTTTTGTGAACAGAATATGTGAAAACAAAATGACCACTCAAATCTTTTTCATAGTTAACCTCTCAGTTTCTGATTTTCTTATGGGTGTATATTTGATCATAATCGCCACGGTTGACACTCTCTACCGTGGGGAGTATTTTGTTCATGCCGAGGTCTGGACAGATAGTGTGTTATGCAAGACTGCGGGGTTTCTTACCATGCTTTCAACATTGATGTCCATGCTGA